AGGCATCGCGTAGTTTTCTTTTTGAGATTCTAGCAAGGCAATGAAGTTTGAAGGTTCTTCGACATACGACTTCAGATCAAAACGTTATGTGAAAATAATTCAAAAGCACGGAAAAATAATCAGTAGCAAACTCACGTGCGACAACAATTCCGAGTTGAAAAATAAGCAAAAAGACCACTAAGGAGGTCATGACGACGTCGGTTAGAAGTGCGTCTCAATTCGGGAATGTTTCCATTATAGGGGGGAAGCGGTCGCGGTTTGGCGGATTACAACAGCGGCACAGCGCAGTTCACCACAACACTTTCTTTCTCTCGCTGGCCTTTCTTTATTTTCAACTGATTGATGAGACTTGTTTCACTAGGTCTCGCCATGTCACCTTCAATGTAATAATTCTGATGAGAAAACCGCTTGTCGATTACATCACTGCTGATTTACAGGCTGGGTGATAAATCAGCGAAGCCTGATCATTGTTCAGTTCACGGTCACTATCAGTAAAATCAGGTTTCTGCAACAGAAGGGTATCACGTTGTTCTTTTCGCCTCTTACTGGCAGATTCCAGAAGTTCTGTCGTCCATCGCTTGAACTTTTGCATAACAAGAGTGCATTCGGCAACTAGGGGGTGTTAGGAAGGCAGCTTGGGTTCTTTCTACCAAATAGCCATTGTTCTATCTGAGGTAAGTCGGCATTAAAGCTATCCTGAATGTCCGAAATGAGAAACAAACTGCAAGCAAAAGCATTACTCTCCCATAGACCTCGCTCTACCTTAAAAGGTAGGTCTTTCAGGAAATGCCCAGCTTTCTCAAACGGTTTTTTGCATGATATAGGGGTACATGCATGGAACACAGAACTGTAGTTCATTTTTCCTGAGCGGCCCTCTGAATACCAAAAAAGGGGTGATGAAGTGGTCCGTGGTTCGAATCCTCGCAGTGACAATTTTTTGCATTTTGTGTTGGCGTTTCAAAATTCGCGAAAAATAGCGTCAGCGTAAACAACTTATGTCATATCTATAATTAGGACCATCAGCAACCTTTATACGTAGACTTTGGCTAAAAACTGGTGAAGAAAGTTAAGAACGGCAGTTCCTTAAGAAATTTTTCTTCGCTCCTTTTTTGGTATTCAGAGGGTCGCTCAGGAAAAATGAACCACAGTTCTGTGTTCCATGCACGTACCTCTATATCATGCAAAAACCGTTTCGAGAAAGCTGGGCATTTCCTGGAAGACCTCCCTGGTTAGTGCAGCGATATAAAGCTGGAAGTCTCTCGTCCGCTGCCCTATGTCAGTGCTTCGAAGTGCAGAAAGGGCCGCTCTTGAACAACCAGGCGATCGTTCCCAAAGGCTGATTAGTGCTACAAGACATGTGTAGGGGTAGGAAGGTGTGTGAGCCATTCCGGGACTTTTGCATGCAAGACGCCACTTCGGAGCTTGCATTCATTCATTCATTCATCAGTCACAGCGAAAGCTCCTCGAAGGACTGCCCATCCTCGAGTGTTCCTGCGGAACCAGAAATCGCAAATAATTCGTGAAGGGACGCTCAATAGTGGGGCTTTCAGTAAATCTGCATATTCTTCTTGGATGACACATCTCGCTTGAGCAGCAAGCTTTGGCGGCAAGACCATCCCTTTTCCCTTTCAAACACCTTCTTTAAAATTGAGCTAGTCGAAATTATGATGGCCATACAGCTTTGTGTTTCACTGCCAAGCCGATCGTAGGAGGTGATCCAAAGCAACTTTGAACAGATTCGAAGAGGGAACATAACAAGATCAAATTTGTATTACATATTTCGCCCAAGAATGATAGAGCTGCCAGCTGCTAATAGCGAAAGAAAAAGGAATAAAAAACACCGCAAACACTAAAAACAAGGGCCCTTTTCTCTAGGCTATGTGGGATTCTAAAGAGCAGAGAGCAAAGAGATACTGTGCGTCGAAGCGGGAGAAAAGATCGTTCATGAGCGAGCCCTAGTTGATTCCTCACGTGCATCGTTGGTTGTGTTGTATCGCCTGTACCTGGAAAATTCGTGAGGCGATTCATGTGCACCCTGCGTATATGAGAAGGTTCAGCTGCTGCTTGCGGGGAGTATTTCTTTCACTTTCACTGACTTCCTCAAAACCTCATCCGAGCATCTCCGGAGTTTGAAGATTGTAGTTGCGCTCCATGTAAGGAATTCAGCGTTCCCATCGGCGTAAGTCGCCATTTCTTTGGCCCCTCGACAGCCAACATCTTCTGAAGCTTTTTCCCACCTGCGGCTCCCCATTCTCACCCAATAGTTTCTTCGAGCTACAGAATAAGTCCAGGGAGAGCATTTGACGGTTTGAGAGTGGTAACCCTTAACTCCTGTGAACGCATTGCTTCGTATTTGGATCTACGCTGATCTGGTTACCCTAAATGGCATGGAGGGGCAAAATGTCAAAACCCACAAAGGAGATTGCGTGAAGGTTATCCTTCATTTCTGGCCAACATTTCGTTTCTCATGTTGCACTTATGGTTAGCTCTCAAGATGTTCAGTAATTAAAAACCGCAGCTTATAGCGGATAAACGGTAGTAGGCTACTTTCGCTGGTTCCGCTTTTTCCGACGTTTCGGTTAGCAGTAGAAGCTTTCGTAAAGTGGTTCCTATGCGTGTTTCAATCAAAAAATAAGAAACGAGATTTCTGCAAAAGTAAGATCGTGACCACCTTATCAGTACCAGTTCTTGCTGTTGGATCCATCAAGGTCAGCCTTCTCCGAGCGTGTCCATTCACGCTGCTTTAAGCAACAGTCCCAGCAGGGTCTGCTTCTTTCAATACTAATGGCACTAAAGTATACGCAGGCCCTATTGGAAAACATCTGAAGTGAAGTTATAAAGAAAACTCACCTGGGAAAAGCCCAAAAAGGGCGTTTAAATCCTCAAAGATGGGTGTGGTTGGAAATTTCTTCGGGACCGCCCACTTGCCAGCCGTGATTGGCTACGGAGGCATTCGGTGCTCGTTTCGGGACCACAGGGGGTATTTGAACTCTGTCCTTTCAAAGTAATCAATCTGATGCTGCCGGTTGCAGTGGAATTGCTTCCTTTTTGTGTTGTTCTAATGTTGTTATGTTATGGTGGTGTTATGTAATGTTCGTACATCTGTGTGTAAAATGGCCAAGTCAGTCAACATTCATTAGCGGAAATCAAGGGCTCCCCAGCTAAATGGAAGGGTCGAATTGCAGTAGTTTGAGGGGTGATCGAACTGTTAGTGAATGAGCTAGAGATTGCACTCCAATTGCAAGAGCTGGCAAATGGCCAACTATTATGGCTATTTGCCAGCAATTGCAATTGGAGCGCAGGTTCGGACAACTCGTCCAGCACGCGTCTTCTCTCATCGCTAAGGGCAGAGGGTGAGTTCCTGTTCAAAGCCTTATTCCGCGTTTTTCTTTGGTTTTTTCATTACTGTCGGTCAAATTGTGGGCTATAACTACATTATCAACGGTTTTTACCTCGTAAATTCGTCCTGGAACTGTTGCTTTAAAACGTCTTTCTCGCGATGTCACTAAATCCGGCGGCCCTCCAATTCAATTTCAATTTATCTTCATGTCGAACCGTGACGGAAAGATCCGCCGAATTGTTACAGTTAGATAATCTGTAACAGAGAGTGTTTTCTCGCCTTTGTAAGAAAGAATTGCTTCTGCTGCGGACCAGGATGAGCAACATGTTATGGAAATGTTGACCAACGCAATTCCCTCTCCCTCTGCCCTTCTGGAGACGTCCCCCTCCTACCCGATACAATCTCCATTCCGTCCTCCACACCCTCATTGTCAGATGCGATGGCCGATGATGTGAATAGTGGTTAGAGAGTGACTGACTGAGCCGTATCCTACCCTCCCGCCAGGCCAGTGAAGGTCCCGGAAAATCGCTTCAAAATTTTCTCTCTCTCACCGGATTTGGCTTTTAGACAGGCCTATTTTGTATAGAATGCTTGGCTTTATAGAAAACGTGAATTGAATATAAAGAAAATATATCGCTAAACGGAATAAATTCAGGAGTTTTTCCATTACTAGTCTGAGGGAAGGATAGGATACGGGTCCTGTAATATAATGCTAATCGGCTCTTGAGATTCCGAAACCTCAATAACCTCTCACTGCCGGGCGAATGAGAGGCCACCAAAATTCGTCTCATTCACCATCTCACATCTGTTCTCCAAATGCACAGCCTGGACACCCCCAAAAATTATAATATTGGCCACCCCCCCACGCAACAAAGCAACCCCATCGGGGATCCTGCCGTGGCCCATCCCCTGGCTGTACTAATCAGAATCTTACATTTTCACGCACTAACAAGGAAGTCGTTTCAGTAAGTGGTGCCATGCTTTTACAAAAAGTCTTTTGCATGATGAATAGGCCACATGCCAGAAACTATGGTTTATTTTTCCCTAGATGGCCCTGGAACACAGCAGAAAAGAGGTCCTAGTCACACCTTTTTCACCAGTTTTTTTTAATCAAAGTCTATTTGTAAGGGTTACTGACGTTCCTAATCATGAATATGGTACTAATTATTCATGCTACTCCATTTTGCGCGAATTTGGAAACGTCAACACGAAATGCAAAAACTTGTCACCACGAGGAATCGAACTAGGGACCCCTTTTCTGGTATTCAGAGAGCCGTTCAGGAAAAATGAACCATGCTTCTGTGGTCCCCATATGTGCCCCAATGTCATGCAAGAAACCATTTTGAAAAAGCTTGGCACACCCTGAAACGACCTCCCTTGTTAGCACACCTTCAATGTTCACTACCTTCATTCGACATTGTACACGCTTTGCCCATCGCCTACCCATAAATCTAAAATGCTCCGGCGAATAAATGGCGGAAACTGAGTCAGGAAGGTCAGACACAAATATCGTCGACATTTTGTTGAAGATTTCATTTATTCAAAGCACGCAAACCTATGTACATACAATCACAAACAACGTGTACATGACTATTTGAAGTAATAGCGAAATGGTCCGTATTCCTTTGATGGTGTACACGTGATAACGACAACCTGCCGTTAAAAGAAGGAACCCGTTGGAAGATATTTTGAAACAGTGAAATTAAACAAGCTATGCGACTACAATGATAATTTGATAAAAACCATTGTTTCCCTAGAAATTCCTCACTACGTAGCCATACCACGTGCAAAGGGTCCTGAGTGAAAAGAAAAAAAGGCGTGATCAGCGGTGCTCCTGCTTCTGTACGATCACGATTCAAGGCCGATGACCAAACTCAATGCCCACATCGTCTGGGCCGAGTTCAGACTCGTCCGTGTCGTGCACAGATGACGTCTTCAGTCGGCGATAGTTGTCAAACATGGCGTTTCGTCGAGGTGCCAACAGTACGGTGGCCAGCAGGCACAGCACGAACATTTCGCAGATGATCACAAAATTGCACACAACTAAACGGTGATGGAATTATAGTGGACTTCTCTGAATGGAGAAAAATAGGCACTCACAGGTGGCGTTCTCTTGAGCGGTGAGTAAAGGACCGCAGGTGATCAGATCGAAGCGAAGAAGGATGTTTTGGAAGAGCATAGGCTGTTGAGCGGAGAAAGAAGCAAGCGAGACGTCAACGAAAGCGGAACAACCGTAGAAGCAGTATTCAGAGAGCTTTATCTGAGATTTTTCTGCAGAATCAACTAAGCTTTGCGTGCAAAAAGTGCCCTCTGTTCTGGTACTCACTCGTTCACCTTTGGTCAACGCTGTTAGCAGAATAATTGCAAGAAAAATCTCGCCCTAGTCCCTATTGGTCAACCCAGAGCTCAAGAAAAGATTGTTTAGACGAAAGGTTACGATCTATGTAATCGCTTTGCACCCTGCTGCCCCTTGGCCGTAAAACTCCATTTCGACGGGCCCATCCCTGCTATCTTAACCGTAGTTTTAGTTTTAAAGAGCACTCCTTTGGAGTTCAACCTTATGGATAAGATAATAGGTAAACGACTCATTTCAAGCGTAGTTTTGATAAGAACCAGTGTATGCCCCACATCACGCATGTCCTGCTCACATCCTAGGCACTTTACTGGTCAATGTGTCGTCCACCCTAAGGCGCCTACCAACATCTACGCCTAGGAAAGATGCCGCAACCCTATCTGAGACGCTATTTCCTTGCACGCACAAGCAGCCAAAATGTTCAATGCACCCTGAGCGTCTTTATACACCGGTCCTTCAATCAGAAGTAATTTTAAATGAATCGATTACGTGACATGGAAGCTCCTTACCTTATCATTGTATTGGAGAGCTCAATGGAGTGCCCACCCCTAACGGGAGTTTCACCGTCTTAACCTTTCCCAGGTTAATGAACGCAAAACCAAAGCTTATGGTCAATTCAGGATAAAATGTGCAAATATTGTTTTGTGCATGACATAAAATTACAGTTTGGGTCAGCCAGACCACTCTATTTGATTAATGATCTTATTCAAAGATAGTTTGCTCGGTGACGTCGTTGATAACCCATTATCACTACAATCAAGAGGGTGAAACCAAGCATGTTAAACCTTGGCCCCAAATGTTGACCCTGTGGGGTTATCGGAGAAGCTTCAGCAAACTAACCGAGGTTACTCGTGCCAGCGTGTGTACACCGAAGATTGCGAGAAGCAGCGCGAGCCAACGGAGAAGACCGGAATTACCGGAGAAACTGAAATAAACCTTTTATTCAGAAATCTTCCCCAAATAAAAAGCTACTGAGGCTCTAAACAGGGACGTACGTCTTCGCTTCTTCTCTCATCTCGGCAACGGCAATGATATCACTGACGATAATGAGAGCACGTACCACAGGCGCCTGTAGCACCATCCATTCCAGCCGACGAATATTCTTTCCTCAAAAAGGAGATTATTGAAAGCTATCGCTAGGCCGGTTTGCTCTAAAAATTCGTAGCGTAGTAGCGATTACAATCGTCATCTTTGCGCTAAACCATGTAGCATTTTTCCGGGTTACGAGTTAGAGGCCGAATACGGTGGTAAAGTGAAATCAAAGATTTGAAACGGTAATGTCTAGGCGAATTTGGCGAATACAGAGGCAGAACTCCTACATAAAGCTGCGTAGCGTAAGCAGCTCATTTCCTAGTTGTACGGACAGATGTCCTGGGATATGCTAGGTTCTGAAAGCCTAGAAAGGTGTAGGGATCTGGGGACGGAAATCGCTTATGGAACCCACAGTCTCTACTGCTTTCCATAAGCTCTAGCGAAGTATTGTACTCACTAATTTCTGAATATCATGTTTTATAAACGATCATAACAAAAAGTGTTGGTCATGGTTCTGACAATTGGTGGATGCAATGGCCCTCCCTGTTTGCCTGGGCACATTGATCCCAAACGGTTTCAGCCCTTCAATTGAAGCCTCTTGTTAAAAATAAGGATTTATGGATGCCGTACATAACGATGCTTCGAGAGGTTACACTAACAGAACAAGACATACTCAGTAGATTCGGCCGTAGGAAGAAAAGGCAGGATGCAGCAGAAAGGAGGACTTCTAAAGTCGATCGGCCTAGAGTCGAACTGCAAACTATTGGAAAATGACGACCGTCCGCCGAATAAATGCCTGAAAGGAAAAATGTTTTTTGATAAATGAACTCCAATAATGAATTGAAAAGAGCGCATTTGTGCTGAAAAATAAAAACTGAATCACGAACCTTACAAGTATGCTGGGTTGCTGACCAAAACTTCCGCCCCGGCGGGACCGAACCTGCACCTTTGAATCGATAATTGAACTATCGACAATTCACGCCACTGATATTTTATGGTGAGCCTACGTCCAAGACTCCCTCGAAAAAAGTCACATTTGCTTGTAGTTGAAGGAGATGTATAAAGTTGTGACTGGCATTTGAGATAGGCCGAAAATGCTTTCGTCAAAAGCTAATTTACAGCGCTCCTCCTCCTCACTTCAGTGAGTTCCCCTGCGAATTGGAAGTGTTTTCCGTGTTATATTATAGTAGGATGTTCAACGACAGTTGGCACCATCGCAAGGTAAGGGTGAGGGTCGTATTAATGCGGTAGTATGAGTAGGGCACTCATATTGGCCAAAATTCTGTCGCGACATAGCTGAAAGGATGAAGCTCGCGTCGTTGGTCAAATCCATTCGGAATACGCCATGAAATTTTCCCTTTCGAAACCGTGTCGCAGCTTGAATGCGATGCCTACACCAGTGGCTTGTGGGTAAAAGCCGAAATTACCAATAGGCCGATCCAAGGAATAAAAGGCTTGGCTGCTGCTGCTGTTGGCTTGGCGAAAGGCCTGCATGAACTCGATTCGGAAATTTATGTCTGGATCGCGCGCGTGAGAGGTAACGCTTTTTGCCATAAACCCTTTCAGAAGTTTCTACATGACCCTTATTCAGAAGTATCGATCCAAACGCTGTAATCTTCTCTCTTCTTCTAGACTTTAATTTCCCCCAGCGGTCACAATATAAGAAACCGATACCTGCAGAGGGAAACGATGACGAATAGACACATAAGGTAGTAGAGGAGGCCGAGTGCCGTCATGATGAGCGAGGTTCGTGGCGCCAGCATGCCAATTAAACAGCAACTAGTCGACACCTGGAAATTATACAACTCTCAGAGCAAAATTATAAATTGCACACTTTTATTTCCCTATTATTGCTTGAGGAATGAGGTTTTTTTTCGGTATGTAGACCAGACTTTGTGGGGGGTAACAGCGGAGGTAATCAAATTGTAGATGTTGAGCTGGCTGAAAATGAAAAAGGAGTCGAAGAAACCGCCGATGAAAGGTCTTGAACAAAGACTACCTGTCTCCTCAAAACGGGGGAGGGCGTGGCTGGACGAGTTGTCTGAAGATGCCTGCTCCATGGCTCTAAGTACTGACCAGCGCGTATGTGACGTCGCCGCTAGGTCGCTTCGCGTTGCGCATCATGGGGTGTGTGTATCTTGTTCATTAGCTCACAGAAGCCGTTATTAGCCACTTTGTAAGGGACCATTGTCGCGCACTTTGGGGCCGCGGGAGCGGCACAGTTGTGATACGCATGGGTTACTCTATCCCACTCACGGAAGAGGTTGTCTCGACACAGCCTAATATGAGGTTACTGCTTCAAGAAGAAGCCCACTTACCCGTTTCTGTGGCTGGGAAGAGATCAGAGCTTTGGTCAGAGCAAGGTCTTAGGTGGTGCTAGTACAAGTTCAAATACCTGCTTTTTTACGGAAAGCGAAAATAATCTAGAATAAATAAAAGGACTCCGAGCTAACTCACCGGGAAAAGGGTAACAAGCCAATAGAGCTTATTCCGTCGAGTTTCAATTGACACAAATGAGTAGACGAAGAACCAATGAATCAAGGCCAGCATACACACGACGAATGTGAAAGCAGCGGCAATGAGTAGCAGCACCTCTTGGAACGGTTCCAGATCTGAAATGGAAACATCTTTGACGAAAAATAGGTACTGCACTGCCCTTGAATGAGCAAGACTGAAAATCTCACAGCCGACAAACGCTAGAGTCATTTCCTAAGCATTTATTGAGTACTAGACTAAGCGGAAAGGAGGCGAGCCCGACCTCCTCCGCTTTTGATCTAGCCTTTCTGGGTCCAGGAGCTTCCAAAGCAAATCGTTGCTCTTTCAAACAAACTAAGAGAGAGAATCAACCGGTTAAAGGCAACTCAGGAGAGGGAGGGTTTCAGTTCTTTGCAATAACTTTAGTGAACTTTGAGCCAGAGAACTATTAGGGTGAGTCAAGTGTTGAGGAACTATGGGTATTACGACCCTCGCACGGACAGTATCACTATCACCCATACCTCCTTCAAAAGTGACACTATGCGTCAGCTGGGCTCCTACGACTCAGCTCAGTTTCTTATCTCCCCAATCTCCTTCTGTCCTAGCTGAAACTGTACTGGTTTTACACGAAGAAATTTCTGTAAAGCTCCGAAATCGGAGGTATCCCTAATGAAAAATGCTTTCCACATTAACAAATTCAGTACCCCTTCGCAAGACCATTAATCCCTTTTGTAATGAGTAAAGAGAATAGGAGCTCGTCAATACAATTTTATAATTTGTGAAATCAGAAGTTAACTGTTGCAAATCTTAAAAGCTATTCATCTTGGAAACGCGCGTACAAAACAAAATAAATAAAAGCACTATAACTAACGTGCAATGAACTCGCGAGCCGATGGTGTGTCCATTCGATCGGAGCAGTTCTTGTCCGGTGGCACCATCAGAGATTCCATCAAATGTACCACAGCAGCGACACGAACCCCATCGGCCATTGTGAAGCCTAAGCGAGACTTAATGAGCGAGATGACCATATCAAACAATCCAATTGAAAGACCCAGACCGAAACGCTGTGAGACATATAGAGGAGGATTACAAGACTATATTTGCGAACTCAAAAAAAGCAAAAGGACAACGTCATGAGAGAGGAGGAAAGGAACCTGAAACTAGTATGACAATATCGATGGGCCAGACAGGAGATTGTAATTACGTTGTGTCTACAGGCAACGCATTTAAATTTGACATACATGACGAAATAGATCGTTCAAAAGAAGAAAAACCAAAAGAACACAGGAACGAATCGCCTTAGCCGTGCTTGACACACTCGGGACGGCGCGGGACATATGCGTCCCGCATTTTCATACAGAAGACTCGTTCTACTTAATTTGTGCCTCACTTTTACATCGTAAAATTTTCCATTTCCATTACGGAACATGAAAAGCAGTATATTCAATACTATCTGTGAGATTATTGGTGAAGTGGTAATATTGATACAAATTCTGGAAAAAATATGGATAATGCGCACATAACTGCAACGTGTTCAAACATTATACTGTGACAAGGAGCCGACATGCATCCATGAGAACAAAACGAGAGGTGCAACCTCAGAGAACCATGAAATTTTTCAGAAGCACCACAATCATGTGGCGCATGAGCCGTTCCTCGGAACCAGGAATGATCCTAATCCCGGTCACCCTAGGTTACCTCGGTGTATAAACGCTCTACCATCTCTACATATGAAACTTTTGGCTTCTGTATTCAGTCTAAACTAGTCATAATAATAGTGTTGACTTCAAATCACCGTAGTAGAGAGAAGCCTCACAGAAGAAGCCAGGGAAGCTTGCAGGCGCTGGCTGAGCTATGCTGACTGGTTCGAGAATGTTCGCTGTTTTAAGCGAATTGCTCAACTGATAGATAAATAGCGTGAATCATCACATGCACCTGGAATTGTGCCTGAAAAATTCCAATTTATGACTCGTAGCGCAGCCTGGAATTTATGACAAATGCTGGTCTCCCTGCAAATTGATAAGGTGACCGCTTGGGACAACATGCGAAGGTGTGAGTCATTGAGTGGACAGGTGCTATTTCGCAAACTCTGCATAATTCCGTACTAGTCGCGTTTCCCCTGAAGACACGCCCCAGAATCAAACTGGTGTTGTTCTTGCACACAAAAATCAACCTACCGTGGGCCACCACACAGAAAAAGGTAATAATTGCATATTTGACTTATTTAGCACAAAGTCT